GTATCAGTCACATGGAGGCAGGGCTTAAAAAGCCTGAATTTTGCCTGAAACTCTCAGACTGAAGAAGTCTCTTGGAGGAGAGATGAAACGTTTCATTAGAGAAGAACCCGTCCAGAAGACCTATACACTAATATAAAACACACAGGTTTGTCATTTAATCGACGCATCAACATATCACAGTTTAAGTACAGATGAATGCAAGCTTGCACAGTGAACAGATCACAAAAATTAGGATTATTTATTCTTCCTTTGTCCTGGAAGGGAAGGAAGCAAAGGCGCTGCTGCTAGTCCGAGATAATGACCCACTGCAGGAAAGGCTAGATAGGGACTAAATAAATTAGACATCTCTGCACCACCAACGAGGCATCCTATTTTTTTTTTAAATTTCAATTAAATCCGACATTAAAAGGAGGGAAACTGTGGCCTCTGAGTGCACAGAGAATTGGTGGTAAGGCCTGCTTTATGGGTGCCTGCTTCCTGATATGAGAATGCAACTAATTGCAAAGTGTTCTGTAAAATTTAATTATCTCCCGAGACCTTGAAGAAAGTTGTCACAGCAGCTCTTTAACTGTGACCCTGAAAGRTTGTTTACTTATTTTAAAAGCTGTACTTAAAAAAAGGGAGGGGAGGGAGGGAAAAGCTGTTCTTTTTCTGTTCTTAGCAAACGAGGACGGACAAGAACGTCTAAACGCCAACAATTCAGTTGGCGTTTTGTAGGTTTTCTTAACAGTTCAAGGGAAAATAAAGAAGGGGGGGGGGGATAAAAATGCTTCTGAAAGCATTTTGTTTGGAGCCTAATTTAAGAAAAACAAATCGTGTAGGTGGATAAAAAAAAAGAAAAAAAAGTGGGAGGAATTCGCTTTTGAAGTTGCAAATATCTCCTACAGTGGAAGTCTATGGGGAGATTAGGTGAATGCGCGTGAAGGAAGGCTATGAAAGCAGCCTGAAAGATGCAAAGAATGTCAGACAGGCAGAGACACTCCTGAGGCAGGCAGAAAAGTTCATTTGAAGCTAATTTGTTATTCAGRAAAAAAAAMAAACAAGGAATGCAGTCCAACTAAAAGCTCCTAGTGCAGCGTACAGACTGAAACATTAGSTTATCAAGGTGTTTCTTCCTCCTCCTGTCTTCTCCTCTTCTTCTGGGGCTCATTCAGCCTGGTTGCATTGATGCTCTTGCCTCTAATGGTGAAATCAATGTCGTAGGGATTGAAGTAGCACTTAGCATAACCCATCTTCTAAAGTAGATTATAGAGAAGGTCACAGTGCAGGGGAGGGGCAGAAGAAGCCTGGGCTGTTCTTTGATATGGGTCATCAGGAATGGGATGCGAGAGCTTTGAGGGGGTCGATGGAGCGGAGGAGCGCTGACTTCATTATCCGTGGACACAATAGAGGAGCCGGAGCTGAGTGTAGACTTTCAGAGCTCCCCCCTCCTCGTAAAACCATCAGGACTAGTTAGGGATTTGCTCTGTCTCCATTTAAATCCCACATAACCTCCCAACCTTTATCCTGTTACCAGATTATGTCGTTGTGGAAGCCCATTGATCGTGAACCACAGCCCAGTTTTAATTTTGTGGCAGAGGTAATGGGCTCCGTTATGGCTTTTAGCAGCCCGTGACATTATTGCGAGTATTTGAACAATCAAACAGAGAATAAGCATTCAGACCCTGGCGGTTGGCCTCCTGCATCTGTTTACTGTACGCCAGCTCAGCAGGACACAGTAAAAAAAGAAAGAAAAAGGAAACGAGGGGAGCGTGCACGATTCATATTCTGCTCAGGCGCCTTCACAGAAACAAGATAAATAAATAAAAGAGGTAAAACATTCAAATGGAATAAGTAGAAGTGAAAGGCAAATAGGG